TGTCCCCATACAGGGGGATTTTCGACGAAAAATTAGAAACTCCCCAACAATACCGCAAAAAGGTCAAAATAATATACAACAAATAGTCCCCAGGCTATTTTTGGACTATTTTTGGATTTGCTTGAGGCATCTTTTACTTTTCGTCGAACATCTCCCTGTAGGGGGACAGGCCCGACTTAAGCCTATCATTTCACCAGGATTGGAAGCCGCCATATGTATGGGTCAGACCTCGGTTGTCAAACGTAGGCAATCCCCCAGACAGCCCTGAACTCTGTGTATATCTGTGTATTCATAAAGATGTACAGTGGTAGAATCGACGCACTCTGCCAGCTGAGACGCAGCCGATTAGCATCGTTGTGGGACCGCGCGCGACGACGTTGCCACGTCATCGCACGCGGCTTCAAAGCCGCCCACCGAAGCAGCAAAGCTGGCGGACGGCCACCGACATCCCGTGGCCCGGGTTTGTCCGCGCGCTCGGCCTGGCGCGCCAGAAGAGATCCACGCGCGACGGGGGGGGGCGGCGAAGCGCACCTGGCCAAAACCGCCGCGCGGCGAGGTATTATTCAAAGCGCGGAACGCATAATGAGCCTCTCCACGCGATCATCCCTCCAACGATGTGCCTCCCTGGGCCCCCCCCCTCGACCCTTTGGTTGCTGGCGTAAGCGACGATTCCGACGACGTTGATGTGAGCGCTGTTCTACATGAGCTGGACAACTGAACTTCGTCGTGCCGAATCCATCGGCCTCTGGTCTGCAAAACTGAATACACGCGGATTCAACATCTTTTGCCACGGCAATCTAACCTGTCATCAACACAATAAAAAGTCCACCAACACAACCTGGTAGTAGCTTTCTCTATATCGAATTGTTTTAGGAGTAGGGAGAGACCCCGAACAAGCTCTCGGGACCTCGAGGATGCTCCATTGCATGTCCCTGTGCGCATGCAAACTCCTTGTCCGATAGAAAAGGGCCGTAGAACCCAGTTGGCAAACGAAACTTGCGCCCCGAAATACAGTGCCCCTGAACCCGAAGAAAACGAATCAACTCCAGACAATATAAAATTGCATGCAACTCCGTGCCGCTGCAATGCTTCCCACACATGAGTCGGGAGACCCCTGCAAAAGCGAACAGCGCACCATTGGAGCCCACGACCTCATGTCCACATCGAACGCAACCTACTTATACATAGAGGGCAATGGAAACGGCCACTGGAAAATATTGCACGCCAGGAGGAAGACTCGCCTTCGCAACTTCGGGCGGTCTGATCAACTTGTGCTGGAAAAAAAAACATGGATGACCGAAACACTTCCAGTGGCATGGGCACAACGATCTGCCACAGAACTGCAACCAGGACACTTTGAAGAGACACAGCATCGGTCCTTCATTGATATAACATCGAAGTTCGGATTGTCTCTCCATCCGCACAGTGCGCTTACGACAGAATAGACTGAGGATGTAATAGCAGCGCCTTGCTGCTGAGAGAAATCGGGGCTGGGCCTGGAAAAACACGGGTACATGCACCAGCTCGCTCCTGAATGGAAGCCCCGTAACCAGCTGGGCGCCCGCCACGCACAAGAACAACCAGCAGAAAAATGGATCGTGGCCGCCCACAGCGTGCCAAGAGGATTGTCCTTGAATGCGAACTACGGCGTCTGAGGCACACCGGTCGACATGCCTTCCGCTCCGTGCGCGACATCAACACATTGAAAGGCCGAGAGATAAACTGAACACCTGAACATGAAGTTCTTGTGGTCCGTGAGGCTCACCCCGAGGTCCCGCGAGAGCACGTCCAACGTCCCTCCCGAAACCACAATGCACACCCAAGAAACACCTTAGACCAAATCACAAAAACATGCAAGACATTCCAGAGCGCCGTCCAAGAGATCTCGGCAGTGCCGAAAGACATCAAATCCAGGACACGAAGGACCATTCGGATGCTGCAACGATATCGCATCTGTCAATATGTCAATACGTACGTATGGTTGTATTGCCTGGCCTGACTGGCGTGGCATGTCTTTGAACGTCAGCTGCTGCCTAGGCGACGATGGGCACGACAAATATGGGGCGCCAGGGGGCTTGCCGAGAGAAAGGTTATCACACAACGGCGATATGGAATCCAACGTGAGAACAGGCAACATAAATCCTCAGAGACTTGGAACATATACCTGCGCGTGACATCTACAGCACATCATGCTCAGCAGCTGCACCCAATTGCCATGTATGAGCGAGGACGCAGCCCCTAAGCTGTAGTCCACTAGTAGCAGCAGTCGTACTTCGCAGAAGAACTACACACACTCACACACTCACGCACACACACTCACACAGACCTAGTCATCACCCCGTTCGTGGCAGCTCCCGACTGAGACCACAAAAGGAATTCCTGCCGCCCTGCCGCCGGGGGGCTTGCTCGGGCCAGCCCGCGCAGGCAGGCGCGAAAGAGCCGCCGGGGGCCGGGATGCTCCAACCTGACGCCCGCAGGGCCGCCCAACGCCCTGCCCTTGCGCTTCGGGCGCCTGGCGAAGCACGCAACCCGACGCAGCTGCGTGAGGCGCGGGGCGTGGCCCCGGCTTCACAGCGCGCCTCGGGGCGGTGCGCACAAGCGCTCGGAGGACCCCGTGGGGCACGATCTGCGCGAGTGCGGCGGCTCGGGCGGGGTGGCGGCGCGGGCGGAGCTCCCCGTGGGAGCACGAGGCGTGCGAGGGGCGCGTGCCGAGACGGGCGGGGTGGCGGCGTGCGCCCCTCCCTCCAGACTGCACGTGGGCATGCCTCGGGGGGGGCCTGCGGGGGGGCGAATCGTGCGAGGGGCGTGCCGAACTGGGGGGGCGGGCCCCCTCTTCTTTCACCTCCTCCTCCTCCTCCTCCTCCTCCTTCTCCTCCTCCGCCTCCTCCTCGTCCTCCTCCTCCTCCTCGTCCTCCTCCTCCTCCTCCGCCTCCTCCTCCTCCTCCGCCTCCTCCTCCTCCTCGTCCTCCTCCTCCTCCGCCTCCTCCTCCTCCTCCTCCTCCTCCTCCTCCTCCAGCCACTGGGGCCACAGGTGCAGCGCCCTGGCGAGTCAACAGGGGGGGGCGAGGGGTGTGCGCCGCAGGGGGCGAAGGGGCCGCATGCGTCCGCGCCATCAGCGGCCGGGGGCGGAGCGCCCCAGTGGGGGCACGAGCCACGCGAGGGGTGCGCGGCGGCAGGGGGCCTCGCCCGCTGCGGCGGCACCGTCGGCGAGCTCTCCGTGGGGGCACGGAGAGCGTCGGGGGTTATGTCGGGCGTGCCCCCCTACAGAGGGATTTTCGACGAAAAATAAAAGCCATACCCCAAAAATACCCTAATAAGGTCCAAAAATACCCGGGAAATAGTCCCTGGTTTTTGTTTGTTATTTTTTGGTTATTTTTAGGTTATTTGTCATTTTTCGTCGAAAATCCCTCTGTAGGGGGACAGGCCCGACAAAGTCTGGGGGTGCACCGGAGTGGGCGTGCGGACGGAGGGAAAGGAGGTGAATGGGCAGGGAGAGCGAGGCGGAGCAGAGCGGCGCGAAGGTGCCGGAGTCGGGCACACGGGCGTGGCCGTGCCGTGCTGGGCAGGGCGCGGGCGGCCGTGGCCACGCATCGAGTGCGCACAGAAGTCGTGGACGAGAGACTGCCGGGACCAGCTCGCCATCGCTCGGACGTCCATTTCCCGTGCATGTTTCGGTTTCGTGCGTGTTTTTGTTTGCTCGATGGTCCAGGATGGTCCTCGATGGTCCTCGCCGAGAAAAAAATGCGCACGTCCGAGCCAGGCCAGTGCACAAAGAAGGACAGGGAGAGTAAAGGGGCCCCAGGACACACAAAGAAATACACACAAATGACAGGATTCCCCTATATGTTCCCCTTAGTTTCTGGGTGTCTGTCCTCCCCCCCCTCCACTTCCCATATTTTCCTGCATTTTCGGGGGAATCGACGATCAATTGTGTCTGTGTGTTTTCCCCCCCCCCCTGGGAGAGGAGGGGTGGGCGGGGGCGGCGCTGGGCCGTCCTGCGGCGCCCACGCGCCCGGTCTGAGGAGGAGGAGGAGGAGGAGGAGGAGGAGGAGGAGAGGAGGAGGGGGGGGGGAGGAGGAGGCGGGGAGGAGGAGAGACTGAGGAGGAGGACTAGGAGGAGGAGGAGGAGGAGGAGGAGGAGGAGGAGGAGGAGGAGGGGGAGGGGGCGGGGGCGGGGGGATCTCAGCTTCGGCGGAGCGCGCGAGCCCGCCTGCCCGCGGTGCAGGAGGGCGGTCCCCCCTCTGGAGCTTCACTGTGCAGTTTTTTCCGGCGGCTGCCCCAGCAGGCCCACAGCGCAGGCAGGAGGAGGAGGAGGAGGAGGAGGAGGAGGAGGAGGAGGAGGAGGAGGAGGAGGAGGGAGGAGAGGATGAGGAGAGGAGGAGGAGGAGGAGGAGGAGGAGGAGGAGGAGGAGGAGGAGGAGGAGGAGGAGGAGGAGGAAGAGGTCCCGGGACACACAAATAAATACTCCAGACTTCGTGAGAAAGGGAGGGGGATCTCATTTCGGGGGGGGTCTCTTCCAGGCTATCCGGCAGGGCCTGGGGGGGTCTGGGGACGATGTTTTGGAGGGTTCTCCCACGGGGGAGGTCTGAAGTGGCTTGTCTTGGAGGGTCCAGACTGCCTCCCTTTTATTACGAAATCTGGAGTACACACAAATAAAAATGTTCCCCATACCCACGGACGGAGGCAGCGAGGATGAGGTTGGGCGTGTCCCCCTACAGGGGATCTTGGACGAGGAACATCGTCAACAAAATGACCCAACATAGCCAAACAATGCTCAGAACATCGTCCCCAGACCATGTTTCGACTATCTTTGAACATTCCCCCTGTAGAGAGAGGCGCGCCCGACTCAAAAACCCAGGCGGGCCGAGGACCAGAAACAAAAAAAAAAAACGCGGTCCATGTCGTCGACGGTGCAGGGGCCCTGGCCGTCTGTGCCTGGGCCGTCCATCCAGAGCATGTCGTTGGCGGCCCAATAGCTCACGATGGGCGTCATGCCAGCCTCGCGCGGGACTCCCTCCACCGGCCCCCCCCCACTTGACGGGAACAGGGAGGGAAAGGATACACTCGGCCTTCATTGGACAGGACACGTGGGAGGACACAAGACCCTTCCGAGGGCCACATCGCCACAAGAGTGTGAGAAGGCACGCGTCGCGAGGCACAGGACACAAGGGTACCCTTGAGCTGACCCGCTAATCCGGGCCGGCTGTGAGCGGGGAGGGGCCCAGAGGGAGGTCGGCCCCCACCTCGTGGTGACAGGACGCGGCGGGCAATCTCTGGTACTGCTCTGCCCCGGGGGGCCCTCGTGGGGGGGGGCACCGAAACTGTCGAGAGACGGCTTAGGGCGAGAAGCTGGTCCCGGGGAAGGGTTCCGGACCCCCGGGGGCCCATGCTGCAAAAAAACAAAACGAAAAATCACACAACAACGCAGTTCTCTGGGTCTGGCACGAGGGCGCGGCACGCCTCGGGAGGAGGAAGGCTCGGCGCGCGGGCGCCTCGGCGCCGATCTTTTGGCTCCCGCGGGCGGCGGTGGAGCGGGATGCGGTCCAGAGGGCCCCTCGTCATCCGTCGGGCCCTCGTCCGCCTCGCCCGCGGCCGCCTCTCACGCTCCGTCGCCGCGCGCAGGCGACGGCGGCGCTATGTCCCGGGACCCATCTCCGGCTGTTCCGCTCGACGAAGCGGACCCCCCCAAGACGACTGACCGCCGTCTGGGGTTTCAGGTGGCCCGCTGCCGGGGACGCAATCACCGGACAGCATATTACCTAAGTTGATCGACGGCGCCGTCACCGAGGCCAGGTCGCGCGCCCTCCGCAGCGGGCAAAGGACATCCGCTCCCGGAAGCTTATTGTCCTCAATCCCACGTTGGCTCGCGGGCACTCCCGCCTCAACGACCGCCCACTTGCCGTCTTCCTTCGTACCAATCTTGAAGTTGATTACCTCCAGCTGGTCAGGGGGCATGCAATAGCGATCAGGTCCCACGAGCCCACCCGCATGATGAACATAGCCCAAGTAGATCCCAATTCTCGTTCGCGGGCCTGTCCCGGGCTGCTTCACGCGTGTATCTGGCGGCAGCAGGTGCCGGACTACCGAACCGAATGGTGCGAAGGGGAAAGCGCACTCCGAATACTTTCTTCCATGGTGTCTCGTCTGCGCCTCTCTGCTGCGCATTGTGGCGCAGGCAGGAATGCGGCGCCGCATGCTCCCAATAGGGGGCCGGCAGTCTGGCCGTCAACAGGAGCGCCCTTGCTCCGTCCTGGACGATCCCATTCGCCCTTTCCACCACTGAGTCATGATTCCTGTTCGCAAGTTGCGCGGATTCACGAACGGTCCCAGGTTCACTCATAGGGCGCGCGCGTTCAACGACCTGCATGCCCGTTTGAGCTCTGGGGCCGCGTCTGCGTAGACGCGCGCAAGTTGCCCGCTGGGCGCCCGAAGATTGACCAAGAAATCAACCGCGCGCTCCGCCGACCTGTCGCGGGCGCCCTGGCTGGCGAAGAGTCCCGCGCACAGGTCGCGCAGCGTCGCGCACGAGGTTTCCCCGTAGAGTCCCCTCGAGAGCTCATTAGCCGCGAACCAATGGTCCATGGTGCACGGGCCCCCGAACTTCGTCGGCTCGGAACATCGTCAGAGTTGCTGACAAGCCTTGTTATTATTATGCTGGCGCTGTGCCCTCAGCGTCTATGCCCACTGGCAAGTCGAGCAGCAAGGATTCTTCGGCAAATGCGTCAATAAGTGCTATTCCCAAGGGGCCTCGAGGGTGCTCCCAGAGGCTCCCAAGATGGCCCATCCTCCTCATCTTTCCCTTTTCTCCTCCCCCTCTGTTTCCTCCTCTACATCCTCCTCCTCCTCCTCCTCCTCCTCCTCCTCCTCCTCCTCCTCCTCCTCCTCCTCCGCCTCCGCCTCCGCCTCCGCCTCCGCCTCCGCCTCCGCCTCACCCTCCGCCTCCGCCTCCTCATCTTTCCCCTTTCTCCTCCCCCTCTGTTTCCTCCTCCACCTCCTCCTCCTCCTCCTCCTCCTCTCCTCCTCCTCCTCCTCCCCCGCCCCCCTCCTCCGCCTCCGCCTCCTCCTCCTCCTCCTCCTCCTCCTCCTCCTCCTCCTCCTCCTCCTCCTCCTCCTCCTCCTCCTCCTCCCCCTCCAATCCACACACCAGTTTGTGAGAGAGGGCAAACGTTGGGTATGCTCGAGGTGTAGGGAATTTGTCACCACCACCTCTCTGCTCTCGGCCGCGGCCCGAGTGTCCAGGGGCCCCTCTTGGCAGGACCAGTTTTCCCACCGCTGCTGGGGTCGTGGTCCGAGAAATTGTTGGTCCCGCCTGGCTCGGTTCAGTTTCTGCCCACCCCAGTCACCAGATCTGGGCGTGGGATCTCCATAATCTTCGTTTCTGTGTCAAGTGCGGCCTCACATCCACTACTGACCCTCGGCATTTGCAGGTTGTGGGCTCTCCCCTCCGCAGTCGCAAGGGGCATGAGAACCTAGCGAGGATTGCGAAGGGTACGCACCCCTCGTACAGGACTCCGAGGTCAGCGTACTCCGCCAGGGTAGACACCCCTGCGGGCCTTGCTGCTGCTGCTGCTGCTGCAGACGAGGGACTGGGTCCCCCTTGAACTCTGAACTCTGAACACTCCTCCTCCCCCGCCCCCTCCTCCTCCTCCGCCTCCGCCTCCTCCTCCTCCTCCTCCTCCTCCTCCTCCTCCTCCTCCGCCTCCGCCTCCGCCTCCGCCTCCGCCTCCGCCTCCGCCTCCGCCTCCGCCTCCGCCTCCGCCTCCGCCTCCGCCTCCGCCTCTGCTTCCGTTTCCGCCTCCGCCTCCGCCTCCGTCTCCGCCTCCGCCTCCGCCTCCGCTTCCGCCTCCGCCTCCGCCCCCTCCGCCTCCGCCTCCGCCTCCTCCTCCTCCTCCTCCTCTTCCTCTTCCCCTTCCTCCTCCTCCTCCTCCTCTCCTCTCCTCCTCCTTCTCCTCTTCCTCTCTTCCTCCTCCTCTCCTCCTCCTCCTCCTCCTCCTCCATCCTCCTCATTTCATTCTCCTTCTCCTCCGCCTCTTCCTCCTCCTCCTCCTCCTCCTCCTCCTCCTCCTCCTCCTCCTCCTCTGCCCCCTCGACGCGGAAACGCGGGGGGGCCGGGCCCCATTCGCCAGAAAAGCCAAACGCGACTCATCCCCCGCGCGCCCCGCGCGTGGCGGCGGGGACAGCAGCGGCGGCGGCGGCGGCGGACAGCGATGCAGCACCTGCGCCTGGGGGCGTGGGCGCGGGCGCCGAACCTGCGGGCGCGGGCGGCGCGGGCGTCGGACCTGCGGGCGCGGGTGGCGCGACGGGGCCCGCGCCTCCCGCGCGGACGAGACGCGCGGCCAGCCGGGGCCCTGGAAGCGGGTGCCGGACCCCATCGATCTGGCGCCAGCCCCGGGCAGGACCCTCGAGGGCGCGAGAGCCCCGGGAAGAAGACGGAGGCGGCCCAGAACGCGCGACCGAGAGGGTTTCAGCGGCGCCCGGGCCAGTCGCGCCGCGCGCCGCACAGGCGACGCACCGCTGTCTGGCATCTGCCAGAAGAAGCGGGCGCAAAACATGAGCTCCGCCGCTCTAGCACGCCCGAGATCAGCCGAGAGCAAAAACTGCGGGGCGGGACGCGGGGGTCGGGGGGCAGCGCGGCCAGCGACGGGCCACGGGGCTTCGCGGCACGCCGCCGGGGATGGATATGCGGGAGTCGAACGCCACGAGGGATGGGCCAACCCTGGCCGCCCGGGTGGCAAGCTCCGTTAGAACTATGGCCTTCGACCGAATGTGAACACGAGTCTCAGGGAGGAGGAGGAGGAGGAGGAGGAGGAGGAGGAGGAGGAGGAGGAGGAGGAGGAGGAGGGAAGAGGAGGAGGAGGAGGAGGAGGAGGAGGAGGGAGGAGGAGGAGGAGAGGAGGGGAGGAGGAGGGAGGAGGGAGGAGGAGGAGGGAGGAGGGAGGAGGGGAGGAGGGAGAGGGAGGGAGGGAGGGAGGAGGGAGGGAGGGAGGGAGGGAGGGAGGGAGGAGGGAGGGAGGGAGGGAGGGAGGGAGGGAGGGAGGGGAGGAGGAGGAGGAGAGGAGGAGGAGGAGGAGGAGGAGGAGGAGGAAGAGGAGGAGGGAGAAGGAGGTGGAACGATGGAGGTGGAGAGGTGAGGTAGGAAGCAACTTCTGGGCGACCTTCGTCGAAAAGATGAAGAAGGACTGGGCCCCACTGCGGGGCTGTTACGCCGGAGCTAGGGAGCCACATGCAAACCCTACCCCTATCCCATACGATCTCTGAGGGGGAGAGTGGGGTTCATTTCGTTCGGGAGCTCCCGTGCGAAGTGAACCCACCCTCCCCCTCGGAAGTCGTGTGGGGTAGGGGTAGGGTTCGCATGTGGCCCCCGAAGAATGGGCCTCGGACTCAGAAGCGGGATTGAACCGGATGAGGCGGGACTGAGCCGGATTGCGCGGGATCGATCCGAGTAAGCCAGATTTGGGACCACGGCAGAGTCATAATTTGACCTGCATCCGAAGCGAAAGGAGGGGCAAGACGACAACGGTTTAGGGGTGCTTGTGGTTTGCCCGTCGTTCGGGGATCTTCTGACCCTGGTCAATCCAGACCCGGGTCAGTCGGGCCTTACAGGATAGCGCAGGATCCTGCAAGATCCCGCACCCAAGCCCGAATCGGGTCAGCGCGAAGGATCCTGCAAGATCCTGCAGGATCCTGCGCCCAAGCCCGGGTCAATGCAACCCCGGCCCTGCAGGATCCTGCGAGATCGGGCGCTCAGGCTGACCCCCGTTTGCACTGACCCCCGTCTCAGAGATCTCGGTGGCGTCCAAGAGGGGGGCGTCCGAGGGGGGGGGGGGGGGGGGGGGGGGGGGGGCGCAACTCATGGCCAGCGGCACGTGCGCGGCCCAGGGGACGTGATGAAACAAGCCGAGGCGCTACGAGATCTGGGGAAAAATCATGGCCCACGCCATGAGATCCCCCCACCGCTGGTCATCACCCCCCTCTTCGCCGCCCCCGAGGCTCCCGCGC